CCACCGCCTCTCCCGTCAGCACGCCCCCTCTCTTTCCTTCCTTCCTTCCTTCCTTCCTTCCTTCCTTCCTTCCTTCCTTCCTTCCTTCCTTCCTTCCACCTGCTCTCTTCTGCAGCTTCTTCCCTTGTGACGGAAGCATCCTATAGCAACAGATGGTATAGCAACGGATCTCAGGCAGTGGATGATTAAAAACACACCCGCTTGCATGAGTAGCATCTTGATCTGGGTTAACATTGTTGCAGAGGGCTAATAGCCAAGTGAAGTGTTGGGACAGCAGCCTCCCCGTACACCAAGTGGGAAGGAGGTAGAGAGATCAGCTTAGGGGAAAAAGTGGCAATCTGTTTGCAAAGATCTAGTTCAAGTAATACAAACAAGTGGAAAAGGCCCTGGATATGTGCCTTTGAGCAGAGAGCCTTTTCAACATCGCTGTGGACTACTTAACACACAAATGCCTTACTGGAGTGTAGGAAATCCATTCATGTAGGTAATGATGCTTGGAATTACTGGTACATTCAGATTGTCCCATGCAGCAAGTGCCTAAACTATTTCATGTATGGCTTGATCACTGTAACTGATAAACATAGCATCCATATAATCAGCTTCTAAGACACTTAATGCATCAATGTACAGAGATAGCATTTTATTCATGATGTGGAAGAGTTTCCCACGTGAGAAGTATGACATTATTTGATGTGAAAAACGGTTTCTAATCAAAGGATACCAATATCAGAACTTTTCATTTTCAAAATCAGGTTCTAATATTTATAAGTCACATGTGTGCTAAAAGCAAGCAGTGAGTCTCTATGCATGCATAGCTATAACAGGTATAATTGTAATCCAAATAAACTCAGATACATTGCTCTGACTCAGAGATGATATACCTATGTGACGGTTTCAGTCTTTCTCTCTAACTTTTCCAGTACTTCTTTTTAAAAAAAGTAATTGCATGTTTTGCTACATATAGTTGTTTACAATGCACTCCTGTCTCTTTGCATGGGTATTAGTCCTTTGGTATTCCAGTGGGAATTGTGCATAAGGAAATGCATGCGGGATTCCACAAGAACATGCAACTGAATTTAACTTACTCTGTGTAGAAGACAGAAGATACCACACTGCCCAAAGATAGAGAATATGACTCAGTGAGTCCAATGTAAAGCAGGTGCTAGATTGTACACATTGCAAGTACCTTTCTGATACCATAGTATTCAAGATCTAATTAAATCTCTGCAATATATTGAACTAGTTTACTTAGGATTTTATTTATGAATTACAAGGGATTTAATTACTGACTGAAAGAGGTTCCTAAATGTGTAAGGGAGGACAAACAAATGAGTGTTGAAGAGAAAGTCTTCTCTGGAAAGACCTACTACTACTTAGTGGTTGGTTTGCAAATGTTTACAAAATGTATTATTACTAGTATTAAGTACATCTGATAATTATCACTACTTCCAACAATCTGCTCTAAGATAACTTATTTGATAAACATAAATTTTTGTTTCAACTCTAGTTCAACTAAAAATTCTGTGCAGAAGAGAAGCTTCTTAGAGCATGTAAACATGGAATAATTGCAAAAAAAGAAAAAAAAGAAAAATGTTTGAGATTGAGATCAAACATTCTTGGGGCTTCTTTATTCTATCACTATTCTCAGTAGCTTTGACTGATGTGGTTTCTTTGTTGCTTAAATCACCTGCTTATTATGATTTGGGGAGGAAAAACGTGTCTTTGAAAATGATATCAGAAAGACAGAATACCTCCCATATCTTTCAATGGAACTTTGAATATTGGGAACTCCAAAATCTCTGATGATTTATTGGCAGTGAAAAGATGGAATATGCAGTCTTTATAAAAGACTAAATATCTGATCTTTACAAAAGATTTGGCTGCCTTGTAACAGCAGCAAGATACCCCAAGTCTCAAACATTTTTTTCAATTAAACTCCAAAGGCTGATTATGATAAAAAAAATAATTAGCTTTCCTTAAAGAGAAAATAATTCAGAAAATAGAAGATTGTTGAAAAGCATAGACTAGCTAAAGCACATGGCCTTATTTCAAAGGAATATATATATATATATATATATATATATA